AAAAAAAAGCATACCCTAGTAATAGGTGGAATAAAAGCATAGAGGTTAGGATGCACGGCAGATAGGGAAAGACAATTAGCTGTGTACTTCTGATATTTGTAATAGATCACTCACTCTGGTGACATTATAAAAGATGGATTTGGTGCAGGTAAGACAAAGTAGACCTGTTCAGAGATGAATGAAATAATCTAAACAAGAAATAATAAACGCCAAAACACTCCGACCAGGGGTGGTAGGAATGGATGATGCATTTCACATCTTTTGGAAACTGAATGGATGGGAGCACTGTGCACTACAATAGACAAGGAAGATGAATGAGCATGTCTGAGGTTAGTTTTGGTTATGTTATACTTGAGGGTCTACAGGCAGTCAAAGGAGAGATGTCTAACAGGCAACTTGACATGGGCCTGAAGACTGGCGAGAGGTTGGAGCTGGGAGTAAGCATATGGCAATACTGAAAATGTCAATGGGTGAGGTCACCACAGAAAACATGCACAATACTAAAAGCAGTGGGCCCAGGACCACAGAAAAAATCAGCTTTTAAAGGCAAGCAGAACAAGAGCAGACTTCAAAGAAAGAAAAGAAATGATCAGAGGTAGGAGATGGAGGAGAGAGAATGGTGTCATAGAAGCCAGGTGTATCAGTCAGATTGAAAGGTGGCTGAATCTTTATCTTGCACAGTGGCAAGCTCATACATAATGCCAAAAACTAAAAATTCAAGACTTCATAAAGCATGCTGTTTAGGGATATGGAAATAAATTACAAGAAATCAGCTAATAAGTGGTTGCCCTGGGGGGAAAAAATGGGAGATAAGGTTTTTTTGTTTTGTTTTGTTTTTAAAGAACCTTTTACAGCTAGGTACAAACAAACCAAAAACCTTAAGTACAAAGGAAGAGACCAGGATTGGTGACACACTGTGTGTAAGTTTGGGGGTTTAATTAGCCACAAATGTAATATGATCCAGGAGATATGGCCACCAAACAAGTCAACACAAGCTGCAATTACTGGAAGTATAATATCCCCATCCAAATGACAGACTGAATTTCTTAGGTCATATCAGGAACAGGGAATTCAATTCTGGGTACCATGTTTTAAGAGGATCCAAATCCTATGTCTCACACTCATCCTTTTTTAAATCCTTGGCCCCCTACCCTAATTTAGGCTCTTTACCACCACAGCCAGGTCAAACCAAGAGTATCCTAACTGGTCTTTTTGTCTCCAAGCTACCCTACATTTTGTATCCAAAGTAATTTTCTGAAAATCTATTTTGTTCATATCACTCCCTTCCTCAAAAAGCTTTAGTCGTTTCCTATTGTCCAGCTTCTTTGTGGGATATTTAAGATCTTTTACAAGCTAACTTCAACCCAATGTCCTGAGGCTTTCCTAAATAAATTACAATTCCAGCCAGTGTGGTGCACTCACTGTTCCCTGCATACACCGCCCCTCTTTTATCATCTCTCCCTTGCACCTTGGTTCCCCTGCTCCCACTACTGTTTGAGCCTGCTCTTCTCTGCTTACATGAGCACCGTTTATGTCAAGCAAGCTCCATACTTTCTACTGTGCTTTTCCTAGTCCCTTTTACCGCAGGGACACCTCAGTCCTCTGGACTCCCAGAGCGCTCCCGATTGTGTCAACTGTTTCACAATTACCATATATAGAATGACTTTGCACCATTAACTACCTTTTAAAAGTAGCTTTATAAGTATCAATTATTTTGAAAGCCACAAGCTTAAGATGGCCAACAATATTTATCATATTGTGATAGTCGCCAAGCCTCCATCTATACTTTTAAAGACACTGTAACATCAGTAACTCCCTTAAGCACAATAATTTTTTCCCGAAGTATGCCCTGCTAGCATTCCACACACATCTGCTCTAGCACATACCAAAATATACAGATTTTACTAGTCTGAACCCCGCCACCTCCACCTCGCTACCTGGGTGTTACATGCGGCAGTGATTTCTGGCAGAACAGGTACACAATATTTCATGAATGGAATCACTCACCCCACTGGCAGTTCTGATGGGTTTTGCCTTTAACTTGGGGACCAAGACCTTCCGATACTGAGGTGGGACTGCAGCAATGATATCCACCAGGCGAGGCTGTGCTGAAAGGCCGTATTTGGCAGCTGTCTTGGTTTTCAACCTGAAAGTAAAGCATATAGCATTATCAAGATCACAATATTTCAAAGACAAGTTCCTAAATGATGACCTATAAATGACATCAACTCCCGTCATTGCCCTATCCTTTCACCATGACAATAGTGGCTTTAATATCTGTGACTATCAGGGAAATAGAAGAACAAAATTCAAGAATGAACGACTTCATCTTCTCACTTGGCGTACCAGAAAAAAAAACTAGATGATGACTGGGAAGTGACACAATCTAAGTCTCATTCAAAACAGTGCTCCAGCTTCAAAGGATTCTACCCTTTTCTCAACCTCAGCACTTTTGCATTTGTGATCAGATGAATTCTGTTGTGGGGGACTGTTCAATACATTGTAGATGGTTAGCATCATCATTCGCTTCTACCCACCAGCACCCTTCTTTCCGTTGTAACAACCAAAAATGCCTCCAGACATTGCCAAATGTCTCCTGGGGGCAGGGGGAAATCACATCTGGCTGCAAACCACTGTTGCAGACCAAACAAACAAAAAACAATTTAAAAGAAAGCTGTACAAAAGTATTTTAAAACTTTTTATAATACAAAATATAGTATACATAAAGAACAGAACATAACGCATATAAATACACTTTAACAATTACAAAGCAACCACTCGTGCAACCACACTCTGAGAAAGAGAATATGATCAGAACTTCAGAATACCCATTTTCTCCTTCCTGATTGGAATCCTACCCTAGTCCCCAGGAGTAACCTTTATCCCAATTATGAATTCCTTGCTTTTCTCTATAATTTTACCAGCTTTCCTTTCCCTGCTGTTAGCCAAACTCTAACAGTCACCTTCACTTCTCATTTTATTTTTTTTCACTGGAGAAAGAAATCCAAAGAAAGGAAACAAATAATGGAATCAAGGGATTATCAGCCTGCTTCCCTACACTTAACCGAAACAAACAAAAACCAAAAACCCATATTCAAAAAGTTGAACATAACCACAAACGTGGGTCTAGACACCCCTGTTGAGACAGGACCTCGGGAGGGAGTCATTCCCTCAGAAAGAGGGAGGGACATGGGAGCAGTCCTAGGAATGGATGCTGGAAGTTCCACACACGGCTCCCCCCCACCCGCCACATCCTGTAAGCATGGAAGCGCTCCCTCTACCACGCTTCCATTCTCAGTGAGGAAACTCACAGCTCCATTCAATTTAAGGTTCTGATCCAAATGAACTCTCAAATTGACGAATCCTAACCCAGGACACAGACCACCTGACTTTCACACTTTCTCAATGAGCACGAATTTACACTCTAAATGCATAATATTTAGGCCTAAGGAATAATAACCACAATCTCAGAAAGAGCATTGTTGTCTTTCAACCTTCACTGATTAAATACATTTTACCCCTATTGAAAAAAATGATAATAAATAAATGTTTTCCAGTGACAAAACCACAGAGGGGCAGTGCTGACAGGAGAGGACACCTAGGAAAGTTTCCAAACAACCTTCACCCAAAGGCCTCCCCATAGGATGTCTGTGCCCAGGGAAGGTCCTGTGGGGAGAGGAACAGGGATTTCACAGAGCTGTCTTCCAGGTGGTTATTGTCCGCTTTCCTCTCATGTAAAATATCACAGACAACTATATATCTTTAATTTATAGTCAGCCTCTGCATGGCTCTAGGAAGAAAACAAGCAATTAAAATATCGGTGTGTTTGAAATGCATCCCGGAGGACAAACAGTTGATAATGATGCTGTGACTCAGAAAAGGGAAGCTGGCTTAGGGAATGAAGGATCTGGAAATTTAGGGACTTGCTGCCAGTCCCAGGAAGAGCCAGGCTGTAGCGACCGGGTTGTGGACCTGAGACCCAGTTCCCTAAACATTGAAAATTCTGGGGGAAATAGGGATCCACTGGGAAGACAGAAGGGGCTGGGGACCCCACAGACCACATCTGCTCCCATGCAGGAAACCCGAAACCCCATTCACCACTGTCTGCGATGACCCTCCATGTGGTCACCGCACCACCTAGGGAGACACGGGGTTGCAAGTACACAGCTGCCCACAGAGGCTCCCGGGCCGGAGCCCAAGTCCCCGGTGCAGTGACGAGACAGGACGACCGGGGTCCCAACTCCATGCCCAGGTCCCACGCTGCCAGCTGGAAGGGAGTAGAAACATGCAGCGCAGGGCCTCCGGGGTACTCGGGTCCTCAGACTTCAGATTTGACTGAAGACTCCGGACTTGATCGCAAGGAGGCCACGATCTGTTCCAGCCAGTTCCAATCAGCCCTTCATCCCCATCTCTACCTCACTTCTCATTTTAATCCATCTAATATTGTGAGGTGTTTGCATCATTTTCTACAAATGTGAACTCAGTACCTGACACGTACGCGAGACTATGTAAGTATCTGATATGTCAGGAGGTGAAAGGCATAGTTGTTACATGCTCTGTGTTTGCATGTTTGCAGATAGCCATGCACAAAAATAAATATGTGTGTGTTTTATCCATGTTTTTATCACACAACAAAAAAATGCTTCCAGAGTTTGAGAGAGGAACTCAAAGTATGCTGGGGAAATATTCATGGAAAATGGGCACAGAAAAAAGAGTAGGTTTCAGACATGCAGTGAAAACGGATGACCCTAAGAGCAGATAGGCTGGCTTATGTGAAAATACAAAAACAAAAATACACATATTTTAAGAAAGATGGGTAGACCAACTTGACAGAAAGCAGATTTTCAATGTAAAGGTGTTGAAGTTTAAAAAGTTTTAAGAGTGAATTAAAGCCAGACCAAGAGGCTTTAGCATAATGGGCTGAGGAATCTGTATTTAGTTCTGTTAAGCACTGGGGAATATGCACTGGAAGTTCCTCCACAGGGAAATGATGTGATAAAAGATGAAACAAAGGAAAACTAATTCAGCAAGACATTAAAAGGGACTGAAAGCATAAACTACTGCAGTAGTCTAGACTTAAGTTTAAAAACAGATGGAGGGTTGGCTGAGTGGCGCAATGGTTAAGAACTGGCTTGGGATGCCAGAGGGCCCTGGTTCAGATCCCACATATGAGGGCCAGTGACACTGCCCTCTACAGCTAAGATGCTGAACAACAGCTCAACCTGGAGCTGGGCTGCCCGTGAGTCGACGGCGACGGCGTGGGCTGCAGCTCCTGTGGCAGTGGGTTGCCATGGGCTACCGTGTGTAGCCAGCAGCCAGCGTGAGCGGCCAGCAGCCGCAGTGAGCGGCCGTCCAGAAGCCGGCGACTGATCTGCCTCGCCCGGGAAGAGCGCAGTGATGGTGCCAACTTGGGCCAGTGAAGCAACATCCTCCACAACTAGAGTGAAGAACAAAAGGTCAGCAACTTGTCTGTTCCCCTTCCCCCAATTCCCCAATAAAAATCTTTAAAAAAAAAAAAAAGAGATGGAATAGGGAGTTGGTAGTGTCAATGAAAGTGAAGAATCATAATGAAGACAGAGTAGGCAAACTTTAGAGCCTAATTGGACGTAAGGAAAAAGATTCAAAGAGGACACTATGTTCAAGCTTGGGTGAAGTTTAACACAACTAAGCAAGGAGGACATCTGAGTAGGAGATGGTTTTAAGGAAGATGCTAGCTTTACCTTTAGATGTCTAAATTAAAGAGAATGACAAAAACACACAGGAAGTAGAAATGTTCACTAGAAATAAAAGAACTATATAATTGGGGAGGTACAGCCAACAAAGGCAGAAAAAAAACTTCTAGACATGGTAGAAAAATCATTAAAATTAATGTCTTCATAGTCAAAAAAGGATAGTTATTCATTCCTTTAGCAAATGTTTATTAAATAGGCACGATGTTCCAAGGAAGGGGTAAAACATTACAGTATCTCAAACAGAGAATATGGTCTTTACAAAGGTCATGCATGAACTAAGATTGAACACGGCACCTTGAGCTGAGCGGCCGCGAGCTGCCGATGGCCAGCCGGATGGCGACTGGGCTTGGAGCTGAGCTAGTTGCGCCCTCCACAACTAAGATTGAAGGACAACAGCTTGCTGTTCCCCTTCCCCAATTCCCCAATAAATTCTTTAAAAAAAAGTCATGCATGTGGTGATGAGATCACTGCCAACCTGGGAGAGAACCCTTTCATTAGAGTAGATCTATACAGTGAAAAATACAGATGCAGAGACGAAAGACCACTCCTTTTTGAGGGTGTAGCAAAGTCAAAGCTGAACATGACTGGAGAGGAAGTAGATGAACATGTCAAGGAGGTTCTAAAGTAGGGAAAGGTTGGATTAAATCAAGGGGCCCAAAGGGAGGGTCTTCTTGGAAGAGTTACCATATTTCCCCATGTATAAGATGCTCCCATGTATAAGATGCACCTTATTTTTGGGGCCCAAAATTTGAAAAAAAATGTATTACATAAAGTTATTGATCTCAAGTTTTATTCATTATAAAATTCATACAACTCCTCATCACTGTCAAAAAATCTACAACCACTGTATAAGATGCACCCAGTTTTTAGACCCCAAATTTTTCAAAAGGGTACATGGGGAAATACGGTACTGCTTCCTCTGAGACACAGGGAAGAGAAGAAGGATGTGAAGTGATGTAGCTCAGAAGATAAGAACATGAGCTCTGGGGCCGGCCGAGTGGCTCAGTTGGTTTAGAGTTGGCTTAAGAGCGTGAGCTCTGAGCAACAGGGCCGCCGGATTGATTCCCATGTGGGCCAGTGACGCTACACCTAAGCTGAGCTGCCACTGAGCTGCCAACAGGTGGCAGGATGGCTCAGCTGGTGTAACAACAAGATTGCCTATTTGATGGTGGGCTATGCCCACCCGCAACTAAGACTGAACTCAGCACCTTGAGCTGAGCTGCCGCCCGGATGGCTCAGTGGATAGAGCATGCACTCTTAGGCTGCTGGTTCGACTCCTGCTTGGAGTGGTGGCTATGCCCACCCGCAACTAAGATTGAACACAGCACCTTGAGCTTAGAGGCCACCAGCTGCCAACGGGCAGCCAGATGGTGACTGGCACCGTCTACAATGAAGATTGAAGAACAACAAGTTGGCTGGTCCCCTTCCCCCAATTCCCCAATAAAAAAATCTTAAAAAAAGAACATGGGCTCTGGAGACATATAGCCTATAAGTTTTTGTTTTGTTTTGTTTTAGCTGAGCCATCCTGCCACCTGTTGGTAGCTCAGCTAGGGTCGGGAATCGAACCACTGTTGCTCAGAGCTCAAACTCTTGAGCGAGCTCTTAACCAACTGAGCCACTCGGCCAGACCCTGGAGACATATAGCCTAATTCCAAGTCCCAACTCTGCTGATCACTAGTTATTTACTCTTGGACAAACTATTTAACCTTTCTGTTTGATTACCTGTTTGTCAAGTGAGTGATATAAGTACCTACACCTCATACAGTTTTTGGAAGGGTCAACTAAGCTAATACATATAATGCACTACTAATGGTGACTGGAATACAGTGAACATCCAATAAATGTTAGAAGCTATTAGTATTATTAGGCTGTGAGACAATTTTGCCATAAATGAGTGACAGGAAGGGCAGAAAGTGAAATTCTCAAGTAAAAAATAAAACGTGAGATAGAAAACATGGATTTGATAATAAAGAGAGCTACTACCTAAGAACAAGAATGCCTTCTTTTTTGTAGACCCACTTACTTATTAAGATTGATGTCCTTCCCCTGCTCGTGGGCTTCAATTAGTTGTTTAATAACATCTCCTATGGTCAGCATCATTAGTTCAGCAGGGCTGAGATCTCCTGAAAAGATAACATTTAACAATGTAAAAAATCGTATTAGTCAGGGAAGATTTTTTAATTTGTTAGCAGTTTTCCTTCCCAAATCATTCCAACCATGCCAAAGGAACAGCTCAAGTTCACAAGAGCAAACCTCTTGTTTACAATTTCATCATATTTTTGCATCTTTAATTTAAAACAAACCAGGCTTCACCTATATACAACGGGAAGAGCTCACTTTAGAAGCACATACACCATGAGAATGAGAACACCACGAGGAGAAAGAATCTAATTGGACAGGAAAGGAGCAAAGCAGTTAAAATAGCTTCCCTTTATCTCCAGATCTGTAATTATTTTTTGATGCATTATTTAATCTGATTCTCAGAACAGAGTGAGGTAGATAGAACAGAAATAATTGCCTGTCCCATAAAAATGCTACCAAGGGGAGAAGTTGAAACTCAAACTCAGGTAGTTGCAATAGTAGTATTACAAAATAATGTAATACGACTTTGTAACAGAAAAGATGTGGGTTCTATACTTGTCCAAGGATTTTTTTTTTTTTAGCTGAGCCATCCTGCCACCTGTTGGCAGCTCAGCTTGGGCCGGGAATCGAATTGGCAACCCTGTTGCTCAGAGCTCACACTCTTGAGCGAGCTCTTAACCAACTAAGCCACTCAGCGGCTGGTATCTGAGGATCTTAATGCATCTCTAAGATATAGTCTGTCCACTACTGCGACCTTATGGCAACTGAGGCGCCTCTCCTCATCTACAGGCAAATAACAGAAGCTGACAGATTCTTACATGACCCCATCCTTGCAATTACAGTTGACTGGTTCAAGGATGGGTACCTATCCAAGCCAGGCCAACCTGGCAAAACCTCCAGGCAAAACATCTAATCTCTCTACAGTGATAAAAGCTGTGAGATTTCAGCTTGGGAGCTGCTAGCAACCATGCTTCCTGTCTATAGAGAAAGATGGTGTGCAAAGATAATAAAGTCACCAGAGAGAAGCAGAGATGAGAAAGTCTGGCAGTTATAGAGCTCTTTCATTTACCTTCTCTTGTTTGAAATCTCACAACACTGTAAGGTAGGTATTATTATCCCATTTTACAGATGTGAAAAATTAAGGAAAGCTATGATGCCATTGTAAACGGCATAATTAAAACTAGGTCTTTTCTCTACAACTTCCATGGTTTTTTTTTTTTACTGTACTAAGCCACCTCTGCTTTAATAAGGCAATGTCAACACATACAATTTGAGAGGAAAAAAAAAAAAAGACCATCTCTAATCAAAGGCATGTAACTCATCACTTCAGAGTTCTACAAAGGCACGTGACGGGGACAGGCAGTGTAACAGAGGTAGGGTTGGTGGTGGTGGAGGGAAAGGAAGTGGGGGAGGGAGAGGACAAGGGGAGGGTCTTTTTCTCCATTTCAACCAAAGCAGCTCAGCTTTCACCTGTTTAATGTTGAGGTTCTACATAAAAATTTATTTGGAGGGAAAGAGGGGATTCAGGTGATACAAATAAAAATTTGAAACCCACTTGTATAGCCCTTGAGTGTATCAAGAATTAACTAGAGAAATAAGAAAACGCTTCATGGAGGAAAAGGCACAGGGGTCTTTAATGAAAGCGCAGGATTGGGACAAGCACAACACAGGGTAATCCAGAAGGAACAATGTTAGGTATAGAAATTATCCTTGTATGAAGGAGTGTTGCCAAAATCAGAATACAGGCTTTCTGACAGGGTTTGGTAAAGAATAGATTACAGGGTACATTGGGCACTAGGCAAAAGCATTTAAATGGAATGCAACAGACAGTGGAGAACTATATATTTTCAAGTTTGGGAGTAAAAACATGAAAGTAGTGTTTAAAGAAAATAAGCATACAAAAGAAAAAGGACACAAAATGATTCAGTAGGTGAAAATAATACATAAAATCTGGATACTAAGTAAAGCATTCTTAAAAGGCAACATTGTGAAAAACCCCAGAAGATTTAAAGTAAAAAATTTGGAAGATAGGCTCCTTGCCTAGCTCTCAACCCCTACTCCACTAGCTGTGTGATATTGGGCAGATCAATGGCTTCTAAGCTCCAATTCCTTGCCTGCAAAATTGGAATAATACGTACACATCTCACAAGACCATTCTAAGGACCAGCTGAAATAATGTCTATGAAAGCCAAAGTACAATACTATTCAAATATTAGTTATTGATTAAGGTGGGTTAGGAGGATGGTGGCCAGAAGGATGAGGAATATGCTATTTCAAGAGGTGATTTCTAAGGCCTAACAGGGTTTGGTGACAGATCAAGTTAAAAGTGTAAAGCTGTCTGGCTGGACAGGCTGAGGAGAAGCAAGTTAAAGGGAGAAGGTGACAAATTAATTTGGGGCCTGTAGTTTGATACCATAAGACAAGTGCAGGTAATTTGGGCACTTGGAGCTATTGCTCAAAAAATTGCAGTTGATGTCAACATGCAGTGATTAAAAAGATTTAAAAAAAAATTTTTTTAATGTTTTTCTGGGTTCATACAGACAACCTAACCAACCAGTTCCACTTACTAGAAATAATTTAGGGCTGGGAAAGTTACTTAACTCTTTGAATCTCAGCTTCTTCATCTGTAAAATGGAGAGGATGTCAATTTCAGAATTATTAGCAAAGACTCAATAAAAGGTAGCTATTATTATCATAAACATCATTATTATTAGACTGGCTGCTCCAATGAGTGTACAAGAACTAAAATCTGTGAGAAAATACTTGAAATTTGACTGCATCCTGTTGAAAAACTAAAGATGGCATTGCTCCATGCTAATTAAGGAGGCAATTACAAATGAGCCTAACTGTCCCAGAAAATCCAAGAATTAGGAGTTTTTTTCTCTCTTTTTTAAACTTACGACTTAAAAAACCCCTCCAATCAATACACACACGTGAAATGTGTCCTCAAATTAATACACACCCCCCCACGTGAAATGTGTTCTCAAATACACACACCACATAAAAAAACCACTCAAATACACACACGTGAAATGTGTCCTCAAATTAATACACACACACCACGTAAAAAAAACAAACCCTCAAATACATACACGTGAAATGTATCATCAAATTAATACACACACATCCCCCACGTGAAATCGGTTCTCAAGTTAATACACACACCACGTAAAAAAAACAAAAACCCTCAAATACACACACGTGAAATGTGTCCTCAAATTAATACAC